GGATGCAGTTTTTTGCATTTTGAGACCTTTTTCAGGCGATGTTTTGTTAGAAAGCTACTATTTGGTTCAAAAATAATATCAGATTCGGAATCAGCGTTAAAAACTGAGTCGATTTATACATGTTGTGAATAATTTTGAGAAAAATTTTTTTTTTAAAATCCCTGTCCCCCCCCCTCAGGGATGGTCTGGTCAATAATGACAAATTTTTCGATAACTCAACCATTTCGTGACAGATCCTTCTCATCTTCGAGCTCGACCGAGACATTGTTAAGACTGAACTGTAGAAAATTTCATCAGGATCTGACTCTCCTTTCGAAAGTTATCGTGTAAACGGCCGGACGGACATACTGACCGATTCTAGAGTGTACTCACTTTTTGAGTACACAAAAAAAGGCATTGCACTCTGATATCCACTTTCACATAAAAAAGAAATTAAACCTATAGAAAATTTTAGTTTACTGAATGAACTATTTTTAACCTTTGTTTGTTGAATATCTTCCGAAAACATCATGATATAAGGCTGAAAATCTTCATATAGGAAGCTGTGAATCTGAATTCACACTTATATGGATCCGCAGCTTCTTAAATTGTGATTGCATAGAGCATATTCTCTGTTTAATCTCGTTTACATAAATACAATGAAAACAATTCTACACAACTGAAAATTTTGGTTTACTGAACATTAAGAAAGAACTTTACGTTGAGTTGTTTTGTGAGAGTAACCAATAAATAGTTAAAACTTTGATTTTTCACTTGCTCATGTACACAGAGGATGATAAATATTAATGAAACAACAATTCGAGTCTGTATCTGACCGAGTTTGAGTTCAGAAAAACGTGAACTCACAGCTTCTTAATTTCATATATTTTCCTTTTTTTGTTTTTAGGTACTTGTGAACGATATGCAATGAAAATTATTGCAAAAAAACATTTTACAATCATGGGTGCTCAAGCACACACATTTAATAAACAAATTCAATCGGAATGTTCAATTTTACGTGAACTTGATCATCCTTGTATTATTCGTGTTTATGATGTTTATGATACGCCAGATGCTGTTTATATTATACTTGAATTAGTTGAAGGTGGAGAATTATTTGATCGTATTGTAGCTAATGGTCAATTTGATGAAACAACAAGTAAATTTCTTTTTCGACAAATGTGTCTCGGTGTAAAATATTTACATGATCATTCAATAACACATCGGGATTTAAAACCAGAAAATGTTCTTTTAACATCACCAGATACGAATGAAACATTAATTAAAATAACAGATTTTGGTTTATCAAGATTTATTAATGAAACAACATTGATGAAAACATTTTGTGGTACACCGAATTATCTTGGTGAGAATTAAATTTAAAAAAAAAACGCTAACGATTTTGAATATTTCGTTTCTTTTTTAGCTCCAGAAGTTTTATCTACACATGGTGAAGCAAGTTATACAAATAAAGTTGACATTTGGAGTTTGGGTGTCATTCTATATATTTGTTTAGGTAAGAAAATATTTTGTTTTTGCTTCTTTGTTATCTTCACTATTGCTCAAAATTTTAAGAACATGGACATTTTGAGTTCTTCTATGATGCTCAGCAGTATCTAACTAAAATTCAAATAGTCATTTGGATTGTCAATGAAGTTCTCGATCGAACGTATTGTGTATCAAGATTTTATGTGGAAAATTTTTCTAAAAATGAAACCCAATATTGTAGTTTTTAAATCTCAAAAGGCATGGTAGCAGTTCGTTTTTAATAGTACAGTGCGGGCTCAAAAAAAGCATGTACATTTTTGTTTTTATCACAGTAAAATCTCACTAAATTCGTTGCTTTCCAAATAGTAATTATAGAGTTTTGTTCAGTTTTTTATGCTCTTTCATATGAAAGAGTTGGAATTCAAAAACAAATCAAAATTTTATTAATTAATTGCTAATTATTACTAATTAACTGCAATATAAGTATAAGTGCTTGTTACCAAAATGTAGCCCATTAAATTCTGCGTCAAATGGTATATAGAACATCTTTCAGATGTTGTGAAATAACGTAAAAATTAGCCAAATACTAAAAGTGTGCTAAACTTTTTTCCCTACTTTATGTTACAGTGTTTAGTATTTTGACTATAACATCGTCATTACTCAATAAAAATCAAAAACTTTTTTTACCAAAATGATCAGCGAAAAAAGCTCTACAAAGTTCGATATGAGAGAAAATTTTCAGAGTATCTTTATTATTCATTTATGCGTAAAAACAAAATGTACATGCTTTTTTGAGCCCTCACTGTATCATTTGCAAGAGTGCACAATAACAGATCGCGACGATCTTTCCTAGTGCGCTCTTTCATATGGTACAGTTAAAAATGAAACCTATATGTAGAGTTTTCGTTTTAGACAACTTCTCAATATAAAACTTTGATATACGGCGCATTTGATAAAGAACTTCATTAGTTATCAAAATCACTATTTTAGTTAAATACATAGTTTTACGGAAAACAAAACCAAACTTACCTTATTATGATAAATTTAATCTGTATAATTTATCTATTGTTCTTTTCTTTCAGTTGGTTATCCACCGTTTAGTGAATCTATTAGTGGAACTTCATTAAATGATCAAATTATTAAAGGCCTTTATACATTTCCGGATGAATTTTGGTCAGAAGTTTCTGAGTCAGCTAAAGATCTTATTG